CCTCTTTACAAAACTGTTTCAATTCAGCAATATTCTTGCGACTGTGGACTGATGAACATCAAAGCTATATGAAATAGTTTTGTAACCCTTTCCAGCTTCATGCAAGTCAAAAATTCTTAATCTTAGGTCTTCTGAGAACTCTATTGTTCGAGGCATCGTTCACATCAGGTAATGCTTCATGGGAATAGCAAAATTAAAATTGGTGTGTTCGTGTTTTTTTATAAGGCAGGGCAGCTCTAACCAAAACCTCCAAACTCGTCTCATTGATAATGCACATTTATATATCTGCAACGTTGTTCTTCAATTCCATATTTATGTATTTCCACATTTATTTATGTTGACTGTATGTTTGTCTACATGTAGCACCTTATCACCACAGCAAATTCCTCATATGTGTAAAACACTACTTGGCAATAAAGCTCCTTCTGATTCTGATTCAGGCTGGCTACTTTACTGTGACCATGTTAGCATAGCACAGCCCTGATTGATCCAAACTCCATTCAGAACACAAACATTTTAGAAGTTCTGCTGTCTTGCTGACAGACCTGACAAAGCAGGCAGAGAGCGCACGGGATGAGCGCTGTTTCCGGTAGCGGAACTAAATCTCTTTATTCACGTTATTATGCAAAATTAACTTTTAATTTTAATTATAGCGACAAAATGCTCTTCTTCTACAATCGGCCTAAAATAATTAGGCTTATTTAAATGCGTTCATTGTGTTGCTGTTTGTTTCCAGCCTACAGTTTGATACTGATTTTTGAAATTTGACTGTTTTGATCTGTAATGAAATTAAGCAATTGTAAAATTAGTAAACACTCAGTTTTAAGTGCTCCCACAAAGCTGAGGGCTTCATTTAGTTTTCCCTTTGATGTGAACTGGAGTGTTACGTTCGCTGCTGTCGGCGGAGGTCAGGCGCGCAAAAAAAACCCCTCAATAATCGAATCTCATAATTGAAAAATCGAATTTGGTCTGAATGCCGCATGAGATCAAGAAGAGTCTGGCGACAATTACATCTTGAGGGATATTATAGTAGAGTTGCAGTGAATTAATCCCTCATTACAAAAAGTAATGCACATTTGAGAGTTCAAAAACCTAGGCACTGGTTGACAAAATAGTGATCTGATCTAATGAGTCATCCTTCACCGTATTCTCAACAAGTCGGTGAATGCATGAATGCCTCACCCTACAGAGAGTGGATCCGGAAGCCCATTGTGCTTTTTTTGCTGCCATGTTTGGGTCCCTGCAAATCAATACAAAGTTGTTCTGAGTGATCACCCCGATAGGTGTTCATCCCTCCAATAAAGTTCAACAGAATTGGTTAGGAGCACTGAAGCTGTTTTGGAGGCTCATGGTGGCCTAACAACATGCTAAGGCACTTTATTGGTTTTTCCTTTGTCAACCATGTAACCATTTTTTCCCCTTTTTATTTCTTCCTTTAGTGCTACTATTATATAATTTGTTCTTATTTTTATCGTATTCTAATTTTAATATTTAAATATCTGTTCATACATGTCCTGTGTGTGTAGCATGGAGGAGGCCACAACACAATATCATTGTGCAATCGCATTGAATCCTTGATTCTTTGAATATTGTGAAACTCCACACACAGATACTGTAGTTGTTCATTTCACTCTAGGAAAAGTTGCTATGACAGTTACTAACCTGTTTGATAACGGTCAACCCCTCAGGCCTAATACCTGATCACTTTGGTAGGCTTATAGCCAAGCAATGGGACATTTCAGGAATGTGATTGGTTCACAGCTCCATAATAAATTCACAGCCTTAGATCAGTCCCTCCTCTTATTTCCTACTCAGTAATCTGGATGGGGGAGGATTGGAGAGTAATCTGGATAGAAAGAGTGAGACAGGGAGGGAGGGAAGGAGAAGAGAAGGACAACCCTCTTCTGTGATTCCTCTTATATCATCAATTTCTGTGGCAAAATGTACTGAAATGTTCAGGGCTGAACTGAATGCTTCGAGACAGGTGGAGTGAACATCACTTGAGTTGACGACAACTCGTTACGCAATGATGAAATTCTACCGTGGTGAAGAATAGAGTAGAGTAGATATAATTAATTTAATTATCCACCTCATTTTAGTGTTTACTCACAAACTAGATGAATCTGGGCCCCGTTTCAAAAAGCAGGATTATTGAACATTCTGAGTATGTTAAGCCTGAGATGAGGGAAACTGGGTTTTCTGTTTCAGAGAGCAAGATCAGATAAACCCTAGATCAGTAACTCCAGCAACTGATGCTGTGAACCTAAGCATCACAGAAAAACCTCAGTTACTCTCCAACTCCTCCCCTCCTGCGGAGCCTGAGGCGGCTGTCTGACACCCAGTTTAATTTCCTCATTCATACTCAACTCATCATCAATATCAAAGCACATATCGGAATGCATTTACATCTTAAAAAAAACTTTAAAATCCCAGTTAGATAGGTTATTAGTTTTTTACCCAAACATGATCTTGAACATGACCGCTTTTATGATAAATCTGTCATCGATTTATGGACAGATCTCCGCACATCATGGATTTATCCTCAGCACAGAATGAAATCTATTTCCGTCTTTATAACACTGTGACTCTGTGGACAGTTGCACTGAAAACACTTACTGTGATCTACATTACTGCAGTAATAACTGTTTAATATGTAACCTATAAAACTGATTAATGAACAGTAATCTTTCATATTGTAGGCTAGTAGCACTGACTGGAACATTCCTATCGTAGTTAGTATTTAAACTTGAAATGACTGTAGGAGAATTCCAGCACTTTTTCATTAAGGAAATTCCAGTCAGGTAAATGATGAATGAGCAACGCTCTGCAGTACTAATGTCAAAATATTGATACTCCCTCCACTCCTGCGTTTTAGAGCCTATCATGATCCGCGTTGGCACACATTCATATTTATAGCTCCACCCAATTAAAATGGAGGCACTGCCTTTATTTACCCGTTGCCATGGTGAATCGTAGTATCGGAGCTCCATTGATGATGGCATTTTTTTTCATCCCCACGCACCCATGGATGCGTACTACTTCTGTTTGTACTACTTTCTGCAGTTAGCTGGCAACATTGCCCAGCAATATTGCTCAAAAAGTTGCCCCGTGTATCATCAGCTTAAAATTTGATTGAACTTATTCTGATCAGCTGTTCTGGAACCGAAAATTCAGAGTTTCTCACCACAGGCTCAGTCAACTCAGAGCTCAGGGTTAAGCTCAGTTTGTTAAGCCTGCTTTCTGAACCAGGGCCCTGCTCACCTTGCTTTTCCCTTCAGTTATCTTTTCGACACTCACACACCTACACCTCTGCTCTCTTACTGTTAACACACCGGCTTGCCCTGCCTCTTTCTGTTTCACTCTCCCTGTATGAGTCTGCTCCATTGACTGTCTTTGTCAGCAGTGTTGTTATGTTTTTTTTTTTCCTTCATCTGCCAGTGCATTTTCGCAGCAGGTGAGCAGCATGTGGAGGAGGCTTGTTAATAACCTATCAAAACCAACGTGGTACCGAATGACATCTGCAACTACAGGTGTTTCACTGTAGCTTTACCTAGTTGTGCTTGTAAAATATCCACCATGTCTGTGCCTTCTAACATACTACCAGATCACGTCTCTCTCTCTGTTTCTCTGCAAAATGCCAAAATTAGTGGCCAAATATACTTCGGCGTTAACATACCTGGGCGGCCCGCCCAAGTGAAGTATATGTGTGGGAAACACTGATATGCTTCATTCAAAATATAAAAATTAGAAAAACATATCATAATATAAGAGAAGTTCTTCTTGTTAACAGAATAGCATTTAGGGCTTGGCAATAATACAGTTACATTCAGCTGAATCATATTGTGATAACATTCTCTTCTTATCTTATCATGTTGTCCAAATGAATGATTCTGGAGTTAAAACTGGTTTTGTTGACTATGAAGAGTTTTGTTTTATGTAATTATGTTATGCATAACAGAGAGGAACACAGTTCATCACGTTGAACATCAGTTAAGAGTTGACTAAAAGAATGGATTTTCAGCCTTGTCACATTTTAGCATTTAAAATGTGATCCTCTTTGGGTACAATAAAATCTGTCTATCAATCTAATCTTGGGATCCAGACTTTAACCACATCACCCAGTCCTAACGGTAATACCACATAGTTACAATGTCACCTCTGAACATGAGCACTTATGAAGAGGGAATTGAGAATACTGAATGACTGAAAGGCTTATGTTTGTGTGTCATCAGCGTTGCTAGCTGCCGTTGATTAGCAGTGATAAGAGCTAAACAGCGACAGCTGCGGTGGGAAAATAACTTTTTGTCTCGTTAGATTTATTGGTGTCAGTCTGACTGCACTTACAAAGCACGCACTACTACAAACCCACCCAGTGATATTGCTGTAACATGGAAGAAGTCTATGCACGCTCACAGTTAAGTATATGGAGCTATGTGGTAGTAACGCAGTACAACACACTTCACTTCTTTTCGAGTCCTCCTCACAGACTATTAATAAATGGACAGAGACATACAGGCTCAAGCTAGCTTGTATAATTTTGCTCCTCCGTCTGCTGTGACAGTGCAACTTCACCGTGCACACCCATGATGCCTTAAGTGCTGTCGGGAAAGTTGCAGCCAGCATGTTCAATAGCACGTGAACTACCCAATATTGTAGTAAATATGACGGGGAATGTCAAAGTGTATGGTCAGTGTTGCTAATGATAGGTTCAAGAAGGTTGCAACAAATGCCTTTCACTAACTAACAATTTAGTGGCCATTACCACTCTGCGCATTCAGCCCACTGCTTTTCGAAAATAAAGAGTTTCCGAAGAGCACCTGAAAGCATCATTATCCTAGCCACCACACCGTCGCTGTAATGTGTGCTGTGAAATCACTCATCCAAAATCACTGCAACAAAAACTCCAGCTGTTCGCGCGTTACCTCCGCGACCATTTCCGACAGTCCACATTTCCATACAAAGCGAGGAAAACACAATATTCATATTTCAACTTGACTCACCGTTAGTAGTCCGCTTTTTAATAGTTTTTAGTGAGTCTACCAGCGTCGCTGTCACCGCTCCGATCCGCCCACCTCAGTGTGCACTCCGCAGGCCGCAGACTAACATGCTCCTCCCCAGAAAGGCTCTATTCCAATCACAGATCGAGATAGGTGACTGGCTCTCATCAGTTCCAATGAAATCGACGCTATGCATTGAGTGACGAAGGTATTATCCAATAACAGCTTCGAAATCTTGGGCAGGCCCTTCGTCTTCATCAAATATGCCTTTGACAGACGCCCTGTACATACAATGGAGGAGTTTGACTCCTTTTACGGGACGGTGCCGGTCCAATCACCAAGAGGATACGCCACGGCCCAGGAAAACGGCCTTATACCTCCCAGATATTCCACTGGGATGAGATTGTAGAAAAGACAGAGACTGCAGACAGAAAATGGAAATTCCAGGAGTAAATTCACCTGTAACAGATGGGCCAAGTATACATAATTTGATTTTACATGCTCAAGGTGGGAATTTTTGGGATAATAACATTATAAAGAGGAAATGCTCTATATGAAAGGTGTCCTGAGATAACGTCTGTTATAATTTGGCACTATACATATTACTGAATTGAATTTAAAATGGGAATCATGTAGGCTATTATTTGTTAAATAAAATAGTTAGATGTTTCTTTTAGCTAATCACAATAATTTATGTCAAAAGTATAATCTTCTGATTATACTTTTGATAATGAATGAAAGTAATTGCGTATGATAGCCTTGGCCAGAACAACAGAAAGACATGTTTATATAAAATGTCCAACCAAGTAGAAACCTCCAGGTCTGAGAAGTCAAGTGCCTTCAACTTGCTAATAGCCAGCAAGAGGTGACTCCACTGGTTGCAAAAAGAAGTCCGATTCAAGAAGGTTATAAGAAAAAAACCCTGCTTCTCACTTGATTGATTAGCTTAATAAACATTTTCTAATGGGTTATGGTCTCAATCACTAGTTTGAAGTTGTCTCCAATATGTTCATTGTTCATTTAGTAATTTATGGTCCCATTTAGAGTAAAACTAGACTATAAAGCAGGATCTGCTTTAGGGTGTGGCTACCTTGTTATTGACAGGTCACTACCATGAAGACCTGATGATAGAGGCGAACTTAAGCCACTGCATTGTGTACGTTTAACTAGCTGTAAACTTCTATTTGGGTGCTGTCTGTGTTTTCATCTAAGAACTTTGACCCTTTCCCAGTATTGTTTCCGCTAATTAAAGTTCAATGTATCATTTTGGTTGCCTAACAATGTCTTCTACAGTATTTGGCTGTACACTCTAAGAAAGCCACTTCTTTTTTCACTATCCAAAATTTGCATCCCAATTAATTTCACAGTTAACGTGAATTATGCTACAGCTTGCTAGCTCCACCCTCTTGTCCAAATATGGTCACTTGGTTCCAAAAAAACCCCCAAGATGGACAAGGCAAAAATGCCAAACTCAAGTAGGGCTGAAATGATTCATCGATTAAATCGATAAAATAGATTAATAAAATGCTTCGACACAAATTCTTTGCATCGATGCTTTGTTTAATTCATATAACTATACAGCACAGTGTTTCACACGGACATTTATTACTGTCGCACATCGCGCTTATGCTGTGAACAGACGTGATTATGATGGAGCTGTTTGCAAAGTGGAGGAAGAGAGATAAAATAGTGAGGGACAAAGAAGACTCACACTCCGTCCACCGTAAAACGAAACTTATGTCACCTCGGCAACAGCACGACGGCACCTGACCAGAAAGCACCGGTGTTCTGCCTGCGGACCACAGATGAGGTAACAGTAACAGTAACATTAGCATTTAACTGAAATCATGATTGATTGCTGAGTTGAAACCAAAGTAAGCCGCAGACCTCAACTGAAAATGTGCACACGTGTGTTTGTTGTTCTCCTTTTTGGCCTGTGAGTTGTAACCTCACAGTCATGAGTTAACTGGGTGTCAGGGAGCTGCACCTTTTAAATCACCTCCAGCTCTCTCTGTAGCTCAGACGATTCTTGCAACCTGCATGCGCTAATCCATCCTTTCACCCATATCCTTTGTCTTTATAATTGCCATCTTTATAATAACAAACAGCTGTTTCGTGTGCAGGATCAGTCATTTCCCGTTTCACATTTCAAGTGTGTTTTTGTGACAAAACGTGGTTTGGAGACCAGCGTCGGGTGACAGCCGCCAAGCAAAAGTACTTCTTAACTTCATCTATCTATGAATTGATGAAATAATCTATCGAAGCTTCGAATATTAAAATCATCGTTAGCTGCAGCCTTAAACTTAAGCTTCAAAACTCTAGTCCTAGTGTGATGTCACAGTGGCTATGTCCACTTATTTTATACCGTCTATGTGTCTAACAAATGTACTGCACAAATTTCTTCGGGCTAATTCTCGCACTATCAGCTAATTTCTTATGAAGGTTTTTTTTTTTTAATGCAAGTAAAAAAAATGTTTTGAGAGAATATTTATGGCACTGCAATCAAAAATCAAGTTTGTAATTTAAAATAAACAGGCCTTTTTTGTGTCACATTTATGTAATAATTGCTATTATGTCATAATATTTTATTGCAAGTCAAAAAGTTTTCCTTACCAGTCAGAAAGTTTTGCAAATTAAATAGTTTTGCAAGTCAAAAGGTTTTCCTTGCGAGTCAGAAATTTTTGTAGGTTAAACCGTTTTGCAAGTGAGAGAGTTTTGCGAGTTGAAAATGGTCAAAATAAGAGATTCTATTGGTGGGTTTGCATTTAACACATGGCCACGCCCACAATCCCCTCGCTCCCATGGCTCCGACCAGCAGCATTCAGCTCTACTGGATACGGCGTTGTAACGTGTGCAGGCTAGCTGGAGGTAAATTGACGTTATGTCGCTCATTTCAATAGAAATGCTTTTAAATGTAGTATGGCATGATTTAATGATTATTTATATTTACCGTTGGCAAGGCCACAGAGTCTATCGCTGTCTTTAAAATGACATTTATAACAGTTAGCTAATGTTAGCCGTCTTAGCATGAAGCTTGACTGGCTGTGCATTTGTGCACTCGGACATGACTATAGGTAGGTTAAGGTTAGCTACTCATGTATAACACATTGCACTGCAAAACTAGTTTTCTGTGACTGTGGTAACTGAAGTTTATGATCACACAGTATAAACTAGACTTTAGATCGCTGATTTTACATTGGAAATATAGACTGTTATCTAGATATTTTGCTGCCTTATTACGTTTCCAGAGAGCGGCAGAGAACTTTGGAAGCATCTTCACCCTACTGGACGTCTCTTGGGCTGTAGGGCGAGTTATGTAAAGCTAGATTACTTAGAGATATTAGGTGTGTGACAGGTGGTTCTTATTTTGTGTCTACGCTCTCCGGCTACACTTATTTCTAACCTCTTGTCTGTCTTTCATGTAGGACATGTGACAGCCCCTGCTTATTCTACTTCTACCTGGGGCCCAGTGCGTTACAGGATATGAAAATCCCACCTTCCATAGTGGCTGGCTCTCTTCCCTGACAGCTCCTGCACCTGCTGAACCATTGTTTTTACAGTGGGTACGGAAAGTATTCAGACCCCTTTAAATTTTTCACTCTTTGTTTCATTGCAGCCATTTTCCAAAAATCATAAAAGTTCATTTTATTTCTCAGTAATGTACACTCAGCACAGAAATGTAGAAATTTTTGCAAATTTATTAAAAAAGAAAAACTGAAATATCACATGGTCATAAGTATTCAGACCCTTTGCCGTGACACTCATATTTAACTCAGGTGCTGTCTATTTCTTCTGATCATCCTTGAGATGGTTCTACACCTTCATTTGAGTCCAGCTGTGTTTGATTATACTGATTGGACTTGATTAGGAAAGCCACACACCTGTCTATATAAGACCTTACAGCTCACAGTGCATGTCAGAGCAAATGAGAATCATGAGATCAAAGGAACTGCCTGAAGAGCTCAGAGACAGAATTGTGGCAAGGCACAGATCTGGCCAAGGTTACAAAAAAATTTCTGCTGCACTCAAGGTTCCTAAGAGCACAGTGGCCTCCATAATCCTCACATGGAAGACGTTTGGGACGACCAGAACCCTTCCTAGAGCTGGCCGTCCGGCCAAACTGAGCTATCGGGGGAGAAGAGCCTTGGTGAGAGAGGTAAAGAAGAACCCAAAGGTCACTGTGGCTGAGCTCCAGAGATGCAGTCGGGAGATGGGAGAAAGTTGTAGTAAGTCAACCATCACTGCAGCAATCCACCAGTCGGGGCTTTATGGCAGAGTGGCCCGACGGAAGCCTCTCCTCAGTGCAAGACACATGAAAGCCCGCATGGAGTTTGCCAAAAAACACATGAAGGACTCCCAGACTATGAGAAATAAGATTCTCTGGTCTGATGAGACCAAGATAGAACTTTTTGGCCTTAATTCTAAGCGGTATGTGTGGAGAAAACCAGGCACTGCTCATCACCTGTCCAATACAGTCTCAACAGTGAAGCATGGTGGTGGCAGCATCATGCTGTGGGGGTGTTTTTCAGCTGCAGGGACAGGACGACTGGTTGCAATCGAGGGAAAGATGAATGCGGCCAAGTACAGGGATATCCTGGACGAAAACCTTTTCCAGAGTGCTCTGGACCTCAGACTGGGCCGAAGGTTTACCTTCCAACAAGACAATGACCCTAAGCACACTGCTAAAATAACGAAGGAGTGGCTTCACAACAACTCCGTGGCTGTTCTTGAATGGCCCAGCCAGAGCCCTGACTTAAACCCAATTGAGCATCTCTGGAGAGACCTGAAAATGGCTGTCCACCAACATTTACCATCCAACCTGACAGAACTGGAGAGGATCTGCAAGGAGGAATGGCAGAGGATACCCAAATCCAGATGTGAAAAACTTGTTGCATCTTTCCCAAAACAACTCATGGCTGTATTAGATCAAAAGGGTGCTTCTACTAAATACTGAGCAAAGGGTCTGAATACTTATGACCATGTGATATTTCAGTTTTTCTTTTTTAATAAATTTGCAAAAATTTCTACATTTCTGTTTTTTTCTGTATAGATGGGGTGCTGAGTGTATATTACTGAGAAATAAAATGAACTTTTTTGATTTTTGGAAAATGGCTGCAATGAAACAAAGAGTGAAAAATTTAAAGGAATACTTTCCGTACCCACTGTATAAGAGCATTTTTAAATAAACCTAGATACTGCAGAGATTTTAGAGAAGTTGGTAGGTTTTTTCATTCTCTTTTTCAGAATCATAAATCAGAATCAGAAGGAGCTTTATTGCCAAGTAGTTTTTACACGTACAAGGAATTTGCTTTGGTTATAAGGTGCTACACGTAGACAAACATACAGTTGACATAAATAAATGTAGAAATATATAAAAATTGGAACATACAGATGCAAGTTATATAAGAATGATAAAAGAATAGAGAAAACACCTATTTGCAGAGAAAGAACAACGTGGCAGATATTTACATGTGCATTATTGTACATGTAAATTATTATGTCCCGGGCCTTGTAAAGCTGCAGAAAGGAAGAAGCTGTTTTTGTGGTGAGAGGTTTTGGTCCAGATGGACCGCAGCCTCCTGCCAGAAGGGAGAGTCTGAAACAGTTTGTGTCCAGGATGGGAGAGGACAGCTGCAGTCTTTCCTGGAGGTGTACAGGTCCTGAAGAGAAGGAAGATTGCAGCCAATCAGCTTCTCTGCAGAGCGAAAGATACGCTACGGCCTGCCCTTGTTCCTTGTGGGGCTGGGCTCTTTCTAAAATCCACAGCCATCTCCACTGTCTTCAGAGCGTTGAGTTCCAGCTGGTTCTGGCTGCACCAGGTCTCCAGATGGTCGATCTCCCACCTGTAGGCAGACTCATCCCCACCAGAGATGAGCCCAATGATGGTGGTGTCATCCACAAACTTCAAGAGCTTGACGGACTGGTTACTGGAAGAGCAGAGGGGAAAGAATGCAGCCTTGAGGGGAACCGGTGCTGATGGTCCTGGAGTCAGAGAGATGTTTTCCCAGCTTCACGTGCTGCTTCCTGTCCGTCAGGAAGTCTGATCCACCTGCAGGTGAAATCAGGCACGTTCAGCTGGGAGAGCTTGTCCTGCAGCAGGGCCAGGATGATGTTGTTGTTGTTGTTGATGATGATGGTGTATCCCGCATATCCTAGAATTATGCAGGATGAATAGTTCTTGTAAGTAGATAGGATAATTGAAATTGATACAGTTGAAAAGAAATTGGTAACGGTGCAGCTGTTGTCTCTTTTTGAGAGAAAGCCATCGCAGTTAATTGTACATTGTACAGTGATGAGTTTGAAAGTGACAATTGAGAATAAATCTGCAACTATTAAATATGACATCAACTTTTGCCAATATCAATAAACACACAGTGCTTCCAATTGCTAAGATAAGCATTGAACCAGGTCAGTGTATTATAAGTACAATGGTTCCTAATTTTTGTAATAGTATATAATGATCCACCGAGTCAAAAGCCTTGGATAAGTCAATAATTGCACTTAAATTTGGCTTTGTCAGAAGAGGAGGATTATGTCATTAGTCGTTTTCATTAGTATTGAAAAGTAGTATGCATTTATGACACAGTAAGATTATTTCCCATTAAAAAATTCTATCAGGACAGAGATCGTTCATTAGGACAAAAATATGAAGAAAAATAAAAACTACCTTCCTACAGCAGATGCAATTACGCCCTCCACTTAATAAATGTAATTTTATCCCCTATTGAATCTCATAAGGACCACTCCTGACTTCATCATGTTGCTTTGAAAGAGGTTTATTGAAAGATATATTTTGAAATGTTATAAAGTTCAACCACTGATAATGCTAACACACAATCAGCCTGGACAAACATTTCCCCCTCTAGCTTTCTTCAACATTCGATATGAATAATGTTATGAGCTTCTAGAAGCGCTCCATTGCCTCCACATTCCAGTGACTGCCATAGAGTCGGCTACACACTTAAAAAGATGAGCTATTTTCAAAACATTTGTCAAAGTTTCAGCAAAAGTAATTTTCAGCAAAAATGTGTGCAATTTCGAATCAATTTTTAACATCCCATGCACTGAAAACTGATTAAGATGTGATTTCAAAAGCAGAATATGTAATATTTTAGGTACACTTGATTTAACTTTCCTGGCAGGATGGAAACACAGCCCAGATAAGGTAAATCAAGTGCTCCTTGATAGTTAGAAAACAGTTAACACTTCTGCCTTGGGTTGCCACAGATGCATCACTCTGTAACAGTGGTTTGCAATCAACGATACAAATATACATTCTAATATTGTATCATCTAGGATCTCTATATTTGCAGCTATTTAGTACCCTTCTCTTCCATGACCTAGAAGTAGTATGTATATATAAATATGACTCTCCCGTATCATGGAAGAATTCAGTGTGTCACTTTAAACACAACCATCCAGCAAAAATCAGTTGCTTTGCAGGTCAAACCCTCTCATTGCTGGATGGTTTTCAGTGTAGCATGCAAGTAAAAATGTGCACAACATTAGCTTTATCATCCTAATCACCTTTAATCATCATCGTCATCATATCCACTTTTACAATGGACAGCTTTATTTAAGTCTTTTTCTAATAAGATGATTATTTATTTATTAGAGCAGACTTTATTTATTTAGTATATTTTCCTCTATAGTATTCTGCATTTCAAAGCATGCCAAAAAAAAGGGTTAATTACTGCATAGTGCTGGCTATACAAGTGCCAAAGAGTTTGATTCCTTTACAAGTAGTAGAACTTAGTATGTACAGGCAAGGAGTGTCAGAGCAGATCCATTGTTGTGTAAATGTTACCAAAACCCCCATTCCCAAGCGCTCAAAACACCTACAAATATGGGACCTAAGTCTGTCAGAACTAATAGAAAGTTGAACAGACCTGAAAAAAAGCTTAGCAGTATTATAGAAGGTGTGTGTTTGTGTGTGTGTGTGTGTGTGTGTAACTGTGCAGGTGTGATTTGAGTAAGCTGAGTTTTTATATATGTATGTGTGTGTGTGTTTAAATGCAAAGGGGGAAAACCACCCCCCTGCCACAGCCCACAAACACACCCATTTCCCAGTCCCCCATGGATTTTTTTTATTCAAAGCGCACCCTCTACTGTTATAATATGCAGTATGCATTACATAAATGTATTCTCTAGCACTGAATATTCCATTTAAGTCTAGGGTCAAATACAAGGTCAAATGACAAGAGTTGACAACAACCACATTCTAGTTTTGAGGTCATAGTTCTGAATGTAAAGATACAGTTCAGGCCACTAGGTGACTGTTATTAAACACTAGAAACACTCTCGCTACAATATGTGTGATGGCGAGGAGAGCCCACTCGGTATCAGAAAATCAGTATTTCAGCACTGCATTGTAAAAAAGAAAGGATTCACTGGTGAAGAACTTCATGGAATTCCAGATTCACTTGGTATTTACTGGACATTTTTAGATAAAGATTGATTTGTAATCCTGGAGACTGTAAGCAGGGACTGCTGGTAAAAGCTGATGTCAGCAAAGTAAAACAAATAAAACACAACAAGCAGCAGATAGGGTTCAGTAGTTAAAAGAACTCAGTACATTTGGTCAATGTCAGCTTATCAGCTTCACTCACATTAAACTACAAAATGCTGATCAAATTGATTCTAGCAACATTGTAGCAAACTCTAATACAACACAGTGACATGTTAAAAATCACCATTCATCTGAAAGTTCTTGTTGGTTGGTTGAACTTTCAGGTCAAACAGGCCACGTACACACTGTATATTCAGTGTGGCTGTGTGTGCATTTGGGAATTGACTAGTTTAGCATTACTAATGATAATAATAATATTATTAATATGTACTGCTCACCAAGCACACTTACCCAAAAATATTGAATAAATATTGAGAGTGGTTGGATGAGTGTAAATTTCAGGATTATGAATAAAAGAACACAAGAACATGGGCAGTGACATGTTTACACAGAAAGTGTCCACGTGCTCCTCCAAATGAGCTGTTCATTAACCCAGGATAAAGAGATAAATCATAGTGGGTACAATCCACAAACAAACAGAAGTAATCCAACAACAATACATAAATACAACAGCTTAGACCAGCAAGCAGCAAAATAAACATTTTCACAATTCTTCTAAAGGGGAATTCTGCCAGAGTTAATATTTAGGATGTTAACTTATTCAAATGTTACATTCCTTCCAGTGTTTCTCTCCTTCCTTCTGATTGGCTTGTTTTGAGTTCTGAGACTTAAGAAAATGAATCCTCTAACATCAATGACACGTTCCTGAGCCGTTATTAAACATCTGCACTGTTTAAGAAATAAAGTGCTAAAAAGTAACAGATGTGATTAAGCTGCTACAAGTCTTAACTGTTTAAAGGACTATTGCACTTCAACAGGCATTCCCTTCTCTGTTATGACTTTATTGTGTGGTACAGGAAAGGGTCTGCCCATATAGTCTTGTATCAGGGAAGACAATTTGAAGATGTCACAGGTTTTTATTTTCCTTCATCTTGGCAACTCAAACTATAAACTAATGAAACTGGAAGATTTTGCAGAAATGGACACTTATGGATAAAAACAAACTTCATCGTACCTACTCTTTTTATTTTGTATTTCTCTGCCTACCCTGGGGGATCCGGGTAAACTCCAGACTCCGCCACTATACCTTGTTCATTTCCACATTTTGAAATGTATCATCTTATTATAAATCCTGTGGAAAATTTACATTGCTATGTATTCCATTCATGGTTAGGAAAATCTAAAAGGGGAAGTGTAAATGTTCCTAGTTGTCCAATGTGTCCAAAGCACAATTTTATGTTATTAACACTGCTCACTAACCTACAATATGACTGAAGTCAAAAGAACATTCATAAATGAGTACACTATTAAGTTGCCATTTCTCCAACAGGCCAAATGTATCTGGTGACTGGTGAGGTATTGCCCTGCTTTGCCTTCCGATGAAGGGATAAAGTATTATTTAGGAAAATGAAGGCATGGACCAAAGATGTTTTCAAGTCACAGTTTCATGATCACTTCTATACTTTACCTCCCCTTGTTCTTATAAAGTGGTGTTATTTGTCGGGTACTGTGGTGGAAATCTGCAGTATATCATACAGTACAGCAGTATAATTCCACTGCACAAAGCCAAATTCAACCTGAGCTGTGGTAACCTTTGATGATCCTGAACGGTGCAGTGTGATAGATGGTCACTCTATTCAAGTGTGTTGGTGGCCTGCTAATATGACATGACAATGATCAGATGTGTATTTGAGGACTTCAAATATTCCCAGAAACAGTGGTGCTAAAGTACAATTTCTTCCTCCTGGGATTGCTATGACTTGTATAACTTAGTAAGTATTTTAAAGGGTTTTCATTTCTGCCGTCTAGATTCAAAACATTAACAATTTACTTGCCTGTTTAAACAAGAATAAAATCAGTTGGGTGCAAAGAAAATAAATGTGTCCTAATCAATAAAATCAAGTGACCCTCTACAGTATGTGGAAGCAAAGACACTTTATGTCATACTCTACATACTGAAAGACAAAATAACAGGACAAACAAACATAAATAGCTTTGGACCTGAACTTATCTCACTCATAAAGATTAAAGCACACTCATCTCTTCTTGCCAGTGTTTGCATATTGTACCATACATAGAATAAGGACGCATTCGGCTGGTCATTGTAAACTGGCAAACTTGTATATTTATGTATCACGTGACCAACTTGTATATACAAGGTAAAAGCATTCTGGGTGCTTGCTCAGGCAAAAGAATGAAGGACCAATGAAATCTGAGGTAGCAAATTCAACTATGATAACCTAGAATCACTCAATATTTTTTTCCCTTTATGCATGTGTTTTGATTTTTAGAATCAAAACAGGCTAGTACCATGTCATTGCTGACTTTATCACTTCATAGTGTTTGATAACCAAACACAACTCGCGGTTTCTCTACAAGGTCACAACTCATAGCTCATGGAATTAGTAAACTGGGATTTCCTGCTTGTTTAAATATTTATAGTGAACTGTTTTTGGTGTTTGCCAGTTTACCTGTTTGCAACACTGCCTAAGCGTGCCATATGTTCTTCACTCATTAGAAAATCTAAACAACGTTTCTGACAGGGCAGCTGATATGTTCATCAAGAAAATTCATGGCTTTAACCCTCCAGTTCCCACCCCTGAGGTGCAAACCAGCCAATCCAGTGTGCTCTTGGGAAGGGGGGAGCGTCAAGAACCAATAACAGAACAGGATAGCAGGTTTCCTGTTAGGCCAGCTAACACTACAAACACCGACCAGTTTGTGAGTTCATTGGAAGCGCCATGGACATGTAGAATAGAATAATTATTATATCAATAGGAATTTCAGTGCAAGACATAAATGGCTACTTGTTTCGTCATTATTCTTTCTGATATTGTCCAGTTTGTAGATACAGCAGTAAAGGGATCTTCTACAAATAAGCAGTCATTTATGTGTGTGCAAAGACGTGTCATCCATAGTGGCTGACTGAAAGGTCCAGACCAGATCAGCCTGGCTTCACACTCTTTCTCTCTCTGAGCTGTGTGTCCTTTCTTGAGAGGTCAGAGGTGAAATTTCAATGGTGAAGATATAGTAGCTGCCCTAAGGGGTTTGCCCTAAGGGGTTTTGGTGGTAGGTATCAAAGTTCCTAACTCATGCCTCATGAACTGCTGGATAAAACTCTCATTCACTCTCCTCACTCTCCCTCTCTTCAATTCTACTCTCCTCCCCCGTCACTCTCTCTACCTTAGCTCCCCCCTGGGTCCGAGCTGTGTCTGTGTGGTGTCCTTGAGTCCAGAGGTGTCTGAGGTTCTTGAAGGGACAGCCTCCTTTGGGTTTCAGGATCCATGGAAGATACTCCTGTTCCAGCCTCTGGCCCAACCAAAGCCCCCATACATACCCCAGAACCAAAGTCAAACCCTGTTCCTAAACTTGACCCCACTGCTGCCCCGCTCCTTAAATCTAATTCTAAACCTGAACTTACTGCTGGCCCTGAAATTACCCCAGTTCCTAGTCCCATCTCCAGATGTTGCCCCAGGCTGTCCAGTACAGCAGGGGCAAGCTGGCCCTCGCTGGCATTGATCAGTGAGGAGTCCTGGGGCCGCAGGGAGTCAAGAGGCTTGGTGGAGAACTCCTCAAAGTCCTCGGAATCCAAGATCTACAGAGACAGAAACTCAGAGGTCAGTGGGACTGGCTACTACTACACTTTTTTTAGTTTATTACTAGTTACAAAGTCGAATTTCATATGTGACGAATCCTTGTATGAGGGTTGACCTCTGTGAACTGGGGTTTAACAAGGGAAAACTAGGTCAAGAAAATTTTATCAGTAAAACTTCACTCCTCTGTGCCTGGGTGTTGTGACAAAAACAAATTTTTACCAATTGCTGTGGTTGCAATCATTATCAATTTTTTATCAATCTCAGTCCAGTGTTTATAGTTTGTACAAACTGGCACGCTATAATGGATATATACACAATGTCTTTGATTTGTAAATGGATCTCAGGAAATGTACAACAATGATTTACTGTTGTATAATTAACCACTATATAAGCAAAGCTTCTGTACTATATGATATGCTGCAAGCCAGTTATATATGTTAACAGAGTACTGAGATCACACTCAAATAAACTCTCTAGTCTAAGACATGCCTGAAGATAAACCTATAGTGTAGCAACTAAGTAGAATAATTAACAATGTTTAAAAATAAATATAACCATAAATGTAATGCTTTGAGTTTCAATATTTCTAGTTTAAACTGACTGGAAACCAGTGACAGCATTCAGTCAGCGAACACGTCATTGTCAAAGAATACAGTTAAATGTATCGATATGCATAGCAGCCATTGCATTACTACATGTGCTTCACCTGTGTTAAGGAGGCTAGGGTGTCTGTCTCCAGAGGTGTCACAAGCTGGACCAGTCCCTCTCCTGGACCTGGGCCGGGGCCAGCATAGGGTGAGGCCTGCAGGAGACAACATCTTATCTGTCTGCAGGAATTGTAGCCTTCTATCTAGTCATAGCATGGGTCAGATACTAATGGCAAGAATTATGCTTCTATGTACATAGCCTGTGTGTGTGTGTGTATGTGTGTGTGTGTGTGTGTCTGTGCGCCCAAGTTTAAGTGTGCTGTTACCTGAGGTGGTGATGAGATGGCACTGTAGGCAGGTGGAACAAGTGCCATCTGTCTCTGCAGGAGCTGCATGATTGCCCCGATATCCGTTGACATGCGACTCTCCAACCTGCACACAATGTTAATTAATACACGGAAGAGACATTTAAAAATTTGTTTCTTTTAAATTTGTTTCTATGTAGGACATTTAGTAGTATTTAGAAATGTATGCATTTTATCGTCTTGGGTCTAATTTTGCTCACCATTACAGTTACAATACCAAAGGAACATAAAAACTGTGTGGAAGAGCAACTATGGAAAGTACAGTAGGTCAAAGCTAAACCAAGAGGTCAGTCTGTAAATGACACTTAACAAACACATGGCTTGAAGTCACCATGTCCCAGTGACGGTGACCTCCAAATGAGCTGTTCATTAACCCAGGATAAAGAGATAAATCATAGTGGGTACAATCCACAAACAAACAGAAGTAATCCAACAACAATACATAAATACAACAGCTTAGACCAGCAAGCAGCAAAAAAAAAAGTTTTCACACTGAAATGGTTTCACACTGTCTGATAACTGTAGTGTTTCAGCAGGGAGTTCAACATTGTCTGCCTTCAAGTGTTTGTTACAAAACAAAACACAAAAGAGCTGGAACAGCCACAATAAACATACGCACAGACATTCAGTCATACCTGTTGAGCTGTTTCTGCAGCAGGTCCAGCCGTGTGTCCAGTTGGTTGCGTTGCTGTCGGCTCAAGCTGTTCAGCGGTGCGTTGAGGGGCGGGGGGGAGGCCAGGCTGCAGCTGGGAATTTCCTGGTACTGACCACCCCCTCGACTCTCCCCCCAGAAACTAAAGATGTTGGACACACCTGAGAATGCACCTGAAGAAGACAGGTGGAGATGGAGAGAGGGAGCATGTGTTTGCGTAAAACAGTAGGCAGGCATGACTGTACAGCTGACGAGGATATGGGGATCCTATTCTGTTCTATTTTACCTGACAGGGCATTGCAGGTGTTCCCAGTCTTAGGGTCTCCGTCACCCTCAGTGTTTTTGTTGAAGTTCATGGGTGTAGCCTGAGCCTGCGGATTCTCCGGCATTACCGGTGGAGGGGCAAGTCTGGTCACAACTGACTCCTCCCCCTGTAAGAAGTGTAGATTCAAGACATTAACACAAGTTTTTATTGTGCCATGGTGTACAACAGTGGCAACCACAAAGCAAGATGTAAAGAAAGTATTCTAGAATAAATCATGATGATAAATTGTGTTATACCTCATCACCACTGGAGTGTGAAGACACTGAGCTTCGATGTGTCTCCCACTGACACTTAGGTGCCTCCTCCTGTTTTTGGTTGTTGGCTGCCTCCCTCTGTCTACGTCTCACAGACTTATGGGACTTTTTAATTTCTCCAGCATCTGCATCATCTAGATAGAGGTGTGGAGGAAAGATAAAAAATGATGGCAATTGGGTAGTCCAGCTGGATCAGGACTGAGTTTTGAAAGATGAAAACTAGGGGAGGATTGACAGAAAAAAATCTCACATGGACAACCTTTAATTATGCAGTGAAATTTAAGTTGTTATTTCTGTAACCATTCAGTCAGATCATTTAAGTTTATAAGTGACAGTAAAAAAATGGTTACTGTATATATATATATATATATATATATATATATATATATATATATATATATACTAACTCCACACAAACAATTATTTGTTTTTATGTTTTTATTGAACACAATGGGTAAACAGTCACAGTACAGGGTGGAAAAAGTATGTGAACCCCTAGGCTAATAACTTCTCCAAAAGCTAATTGGAGTCAGGAGTCAACCAGCCAGGAGTCCAATCAATGAGACGAGTTTGGAGGTGTTGGTTAGAGAAAAAAATTCATAAATTTTAATTTTGCTATTCCCATGAGGCATTGCCTAATGTGAACCATGCCTTGACCAAAAGAGTTCTCAGAAGACCTAAGATTAAGAATTGTTGACTTGCATGAAGCTGGAAAGGGTTACAGAAGTATCGCTAAAAGCCTTGATGTTCATCAGTCCACGGTAAGACAAATTGTCTATAAATGGAGAAAGTTCAGCACTGCTGCTACTCTCCCTAGGAGTGGCCTTCCTGCAAAGATGACTGCACGAGCACAGAGCAGAATACTCAGTGAGGTTAAGAAGGATCTTAGAGTGTCAGCTGAATACTCTCAAATCTCTGGAACATGCACAAATACATATAAATACATGCACGATACATAAAACACTTGAATGGAGTTCATGGGAGGACACCACAGAGGAAGCCACTGCTGTCCAAAATAAACATTGCCGGAGGTCTGAAGTTTGCAAAAGAGCACCTGGATATTCCACAGCACAACTGGCAAAATATTCTATGGACAGATGAAAAAAAAGTTGAGTTGTTTGGAAGGAACACACAACCCTTTGTGTGGAGGGAAAAAAGGAACAGCAGACCAATATCAAAACCTCATCCCAACTGTGAGGTATGGTGGAGGGAGCATCATGGTCTGGGGCTGCTTTGCTGCCTCAGAGCCTGGAAGGGTTGCTATCATCGACAGAAAAATTGATTCCAACAACAGAATGGCTTCAGCAGAAGAAAATACACCTTCTGGAGTGGCCCAGTCAGAGCCCTGACCTCAACCCGACTGAGATGCTGTGGCATGACCTCAAGAGAGCGATTCACACCACACATCCCAAGAATATTGCTGAACTCAAACAGTTTTGTAAAGAGGAATGGTCCAAAATTCCTTCTGATCATTATTCAAGTCTGATCTGCAACTACAGGAAACGTTTGGTTGAGGTTATTGCTGCCAAGGAGGTCCAACAAGTTTTTAAATACAAGGGTTTACATACTTTTTCCGCCCTGCACTGTGAACGTTTACACGGCATATTCAATAAAAACATGGAAAGATATAATTGTTTGTGTGGCATTAGTTTAGGCAGACTGTGTTTGTCTATTGTTATGACTTAGATGAAAATCAGATTACATTTTATGACCAATTTATGCAGATATCCAGGGTATATGGGTTACCTTTTTCTGTACGTCTTCGGAACGATAACTTGCGTCTGCGCAATTTGTTGAATCCCCCACAGTTAGAGTCATCACTACTTGGAGAGCCTGGGATCATATTGGTCTGAAATGAGGACCAGCATTAAATAGTCTTTATTTAAAAGAAACAATGCAGACATGCTTTGCTTAGATAATTAGATACAACAACCCAGAAAAAGCACATTCTGTATGGATAGATAAAGAGAATATTACCAATACAGCTTTAACAACAGAGCAATCATTCGAATTGGCCCTAATATATCAAATATTCAGGGTGTCAGGGAATTCACATATTTACACTTGCTATATGATGAGGTTGTAAACTCACATCTCGAAGGTTGAAGGTGATTTCCAGGTTGTTCCAGAAGTGATCCGCAAACTCAGGATACATGTCCAGCACCTCCAGAACATCTTCTCTAAAGATTTTATGGAGGTCACAGTAGGTTAGAGCCCTCACGTCAGCGTTGGATTTACCTGGTCGAGCATACAGGTTAATAGGCTCGCCAAAGATGTCATTTTTCCCTGGGAAAGGTGAAAATAAAGTCAATCTTTATGGAGGAAACACATGGATGAAAGACAGTACTGTATCTTCAGTGGTGACTTCATCCTGCACAAGCAGCCAACAAATCACCTGCAAACTATTGAACAAATATCCTATATAACAATGGAGAGACATCTTTTTACATGATCTGAAATATAAGCCATATATACATTATATTTCATTGTGATATTTGTAAGTTATCCTAACATTTATAGGGTATTTGTCTGTGTCTATGAGGCCAGTGACAGAGGTCTTTTTGGGCAATACACTTTTTTGTGAACTCTGAGCCATCACTATCTCACTAAATCTATCTGAAAATGTGGGCCCAATATATTCTTTGGCAAAATTAATGGATGTGTTAAACTGTCCCAAAGTTAACTGATTGCTGTTATTTGATTGCTGACAAATGCCAGATATCACATTTTAGAATACTTAAGCTGGGGTAGGCAATTTATTTCAGAAGCATTTCTTTACATCCTTACAGCAATCAATAAATCAAATGCCCTGACACAAAAATGAAAAACATCTCTGGCCTTTGATAAGCATGAGCACTCATTGCGCTTGAAAATGTCTTTTGGGGTGGTGACTTTGGAGGGAGGTGTGAAGGGACAGGAAAATGTCTCCCCACATAGTTAACTGCTTTCTACAGGATGATCACCAACACACACACACACACACACACACACACACACACACACACACCAGCTCACATTGGGCAACAGACAAGGTACATCCTAAACACCCTGTCTTTTCTTCCTATCCAGAATTAATAGGAGTAACACTTTATGCACACCAGCAGATGGCAGCACCACCTAATCCATATTTTACAGTTGTTGAGCGGCAGCATGACGTGTGCCTGTACAGAGTCAACACCCAGAAATGCACCTTGAAAGATATATTGAGGTATAAACTTAAAGAAAATGTAACTGGGCAAGAAATAGTCTTGTGTACATAGTGTACATAATTTTTCTAAGTCTAGATTGGGACAGGAGGCTATGGACCAATGGAGAACTTCTATTACTACAATGCTACTGATAAGTTTGTGTATGCCAGTCTGAAATAATCGTAGTTGCTGTAGGGAGATGTTTATACTTCTAAGTCATTACCTAAATCCAAGGTAACAGGGGCTACAATAGGTGATAAGAGTAATCAGTAAAACATATATTAAAAGCATACCCAAGATGGCTACCACTACATCTCCTCTTAGTATCTCTATGGATCCCCTGGATATGAAGTAGAGGGCTGTGAGGACGTCCCCAGCGTGGACCAGTGTGTCACCCGGGGGTGCATGGGTCGTCTTGAACTTCATGGCCAATGCCCTAAGGCAGCCCTTGGTGGAGCCTTTAAAAGCCTTACAGTTCTGCAGCAATGTCCGGTTCAGATGGAGGCAGATATCCGCCTGGAGACACTCTGGGAAACCTTTTAGCACCTAAGGAGAGGGAGTGAGGGAGCAGAGGGAGACAAGGACAAGGAAGGAATGAGGGATAGAGAAGTAGGGGAGGATATAAGGAGAAGGAAGACAGAAGGAAAAAAAGAACAAAAGAAGATGAGATAAAGTAATAGATGCAAGTGAAGCCAAAGAGGGGAAGAAAGAAAAAGAAACAAGGATATGTGAAAGAGAAGGACAGGAGGTGAGAAGGGAAAGAGAAAAAATACAGTATATACATATTTCCTGCATTTATTTACATTTAAATCAACCTAGCCTATAACAAATTATGATTAAACTGTTTATTGTGAAATAATGATAAATCAGAGGTGCTATGTAAAATTATATTGATTGAGACCTGATACTTTATGATGACAAAGAGAACAGTCCTCAACTGCCTTGTCTATCACTGTTGTTCAATTCTGCCAATACAAATAAAGGTTTTATTCATTCATTAAATGTAAAGTGTAAAACACATATTATTAGAATATTTTTTTACCCCAAAAGATCTTTTTTCAGACCTGAGTGTTGTCTGCAGTCTTCCTCTGATGCTGGATTCAGCCCCAACAAACCAAAAAAAAAAAGTGGGCCACAATGTATGTAGCCTCAGATGCAAAACTAGGTGTTGTCACACTCAGATGAGTGTGTAAAATATATGGTAGTAATATATTTTTTAGTTGGAAAACAAAGTAAAATTTGCAAATGTAAGATAAAGTGCAATTTGTTATGATGATTACTGCCTCTGAAACCTACAACCTGCGTCTGTTTACACCGAGCAAAGGGAATAGGACAAGAAAGATGAGAGAGATAGTAGAACACTAAAACACAACATACTTGAGCAATAAAATAAATGCAGCATGGCTCAAAAAGGATATACAGTGGAGCATGTCAATAGTTACAGCAAGAGAGACTCAGCTTCAGATAGTTTCTCAAGCAGGTCAGAGGAGGATTTTGAAGAGGGCAAGGATCTATGTGAGGAAATGTAAGTGTATCAATCAGTGTTTCCCCTACCTTTGTTTTGGTCATACCCCCCCCAATAAAAGTCAAAACACAATTAGGCGGACAGAATCACAGCATTTGACGATCAAAATCGGATTAACCCCTTGAAGCCTTAATTTATCTACAATTATTTAAGAAAATTTATTTTTTTCGTTTTCATTTGCTTTCAAACTGATGCTAAATTACAGTTTTTTTCAAATGTTCAAGCGTTTACCTAAACTTAAGATACTTTATTGAAACCCTATACACACATTTTCTACTCAAAACCACATTTTGTTCTTTAAACACCAACACTACATTTCGAAAAGGCAAAAAAAAAAAAATCTCTACATACACAACCTATCATAACACAGCAAACCTGACTCAAAATCAAGTCATTCTGTCAAAACACTAGCACATTTTCTTTCCATGAGGAACAGATCAATCAATCATAGCACAACAACTTTCTAAATACAAACAGTTGATGGCATTACAAAAACTGCATTACTTTTCATGTTTCAGCTCTACCTGCGTACAGTAGACAATGTGAAATTCATTGTTTTTTGTAATTCAGTTTCCTTTTACTGTAAACCACACTACATTTTTGGCTTGAGGGTCAAATATATGCATTTTTGGCAACAAATTCTGTAAAAGTGAGTCATCTTTACAGAATGTACAGTAGAAAAAAACTGTAAGCGTCAGAAGTGCAGAAGTAAAAGCTTTATTAGCAACATGAAATTGCAGCCAGTGATCAACAAATAATCCAATCTGTGTGGCTTTTGGTTGAAAATGGGTAAGAAATACTGTCAAATGCTCAAAAAAGGCACAGAAGGGAAAGAAACAAAAATGCACAGTCCTGTTCTGTATCCACATTAGATAAATTCATTGTGTATGTAACTGAAAGAACTTCAACACTGGTATATGTCTCTGGTTGAGATTGGAATTAGCTGTGGCTGATATATTGTACCCAAATTACAATAAATCAGCCATTTCTCAATGTTTCGATGAGACGTTCTTTCAGAAATGCTTTTCAGCTGTTTCAATATAGATTTTCAGGTGCCATTGTGGCAGAAGTAGAGGCTTTATAAATTATTTAAGGTTTTGAAAATTATGTCTTAATTTCTGACATGTTGTGAGCAAGCATCTGTAAATAAGACAAGAAACATCCATAGTTTTGACATTAGCCAAGCTTGTACGTAAAGAAAAATTTAGCATTTGAGAAATGGGTTAATTGACTGCATATTCTGTGGAAACTGCTTCAGGCTGATATTGGCACCACCCATTCTTTACATTCGAGCCCTCTCTCCAATTTTCTCAGATCCAAGTCACGCACCTGTAGAGCCGGAGCAAGGCCCCGCATCACTCTTGTGTCAAAGCGAGTGTTAATGTTTACAACTTTGATTAGATGAAGATTAGGATGAAGAGGGACAATCCTTTTGGGCACAGGAAGAGAGAAAACTGAATGAGAGTGAACTAAGGAACAACTGTCAGGCAAACTTGTGTTCTCTCCTCTCAAAGTCTGATGTCAGCAGATAAAATTAATATTAGGTCAATGTGCACCTGCAGTGCATCCCTCTATTCTGTGAGATTCTGTGTCTGGGTTGCTTGCCAGACTTTGTGCCTGAACAGTGTTACAGTGAAATACATCTGTTTTATATGTTTGATAAATGATGACGGTTAAACAAAAGCGCACCATAATATTAAATAACCTCAAGTCCATCAACCCTTCCATCCTTCCTTCATCCTGGCTGACACCATCCCCGACTCTGCATTTGTTCTGAATGTTTCCCCACTGGCGTGGTACACACCACGTCATCAACAAGCTTTAGAAACATTGTAAAGCAGCTATAAGCGATTTCCTCCTGTTAAAAAACATCTCACTATTTCACTATTCAATCATGGAGACAGGGGGGCGGGCCTTTCTAGGAGATTTTTCCCTTGTCTGCAAGATGGTAGAACACGAGCTGCCAAGACACTCAACCTAGAACATTACTCAATCAAATCAGATAAACTCCCGATAAATAGACTGACATTAACTGGAAGAACCAAAACATTGATCTAGATAAAACATCTGTCACCACTGCTTGCTTGGTAACAGAGGAGAGAGATGAAGCTGGTATCCTTGCCACTATTATTAAATCTTCTTTTCCCTGGTGGTGTGTATTTTCCAAACCAAGCCACTGGTAACTGACGTAGACTCAACGCACACAAGAACGTAGGGTATTTGGCGAAGTCTCACCGGAGGCTTCTATATATGCAGAAATATTTTTTGTTGGCTAATGACCTTAATCAATAGATGTCATAAGTGTTTACTTCGACATTAGTCAGGAATTAGATCGGCAGAGGACCAAAAATCACAAAAAGAAATCGAACACAAGAGTACACGGCGCAGCGCTGTGGGTCCTCCCCCAAAAACATTTCATGTTATTTGACCAAAAACAGCATATTGACTCTTATCATGAAAGTGTTTCAATGCATACTGGCTCTGTCTAGCTCTAAATCTGTCCGCTGCAGAGGCTCTATCCACAACCTGGAAGAGGAACTAGTATAAATAAGTGTATTAGTATAATATTATAACAGTAAAAAAAGTTCAATGTTCATTAAATAGTATACTGTTAGTATAATGTTAATATATGAATTATATAATGCTTCTATATTCGTCATCATTTCATATAATAGTATGCTATATAGCTTAGCATTAGTAATATTAATTTTAGTTACAGCAGTTTCAATCTGATATAGCTAAATAGCCAACTAGCCGAACCTTCCTTTTCTTATAACAATTGTCTTTTATCTTACCGCTTCAGCTGTAGACGACGCATCTCTGCCGCTGTTCTTGTATAACGAGTTGCTTGAGTGGCCACAGAGCGACCCGACAGTCCGATAATTTCAGGACGGCACATATACATAACCACTACATATTTTTGGGCTCATCCCCAACATGTATGACTACAGTTGCATGTGTGTCCAATGTCACATTTGATTCAAAGTCTTCATTACCCTGGTACAGAGAAACAGAAGATGGCTTGGACTGCGACACAATCTCATACAGGGAAGGACGGTAATGAACTAGTGAATTTACTAGTAAGCAAGTCAAACTCTATTTATATAGCACCTTTTTAACACAGGTACAAATGCTTTACATCAATATAAAGCACAAAAATGCAAAGCTCATACAAGAGAAAAACATTTAAAAAGTCACATACACAAGCATACAAACGCAACGTGCGTATGACCACAGCGAAGATACAGCATAATACATTGTGGCAACAGTACAACAAAGTGTTGACATTTTAAAGACAATGTACTTTTGAAAAATTTTTAAAATCTAGTACTCCAGTATTTTAACTCAAGTAAAAAAAAATGCTTGAGCAACTTTCACTTGTATTTCAGTAATATTTGACCAGGAGTATCTATACTTTGACTCAAGTAATGGAGTTGTGTACTTTATCCAGATTGAGGTCGGCTGTATACAACAAGCATGATGAAAATACTCGGTCTGCGTGTGTGTGAGCATGCATGGTGCAACCATGGCTGTTTGTCTCCTTTGACAGATGTGACTCACTGTGTCTGTATGTGTTTCAACTTGTACGTGAAAACAGTGTATTAGCCTTCATGCATGTGAACAAAAAGATGTAGGACCATGCATGTTGTAAATACTTTAACCCGTCTATTTGCATATATTTGAGTATATGTGTGCATGTATACATATTATTAATGATACTCACATCATTCCTATTTTCTCTGATGGCATCAGACCATGCATGCTGAGACAAAGTCTTCCAATCATCCTAGTAACGTACAACGTAGGCTCAAAATACTTCTCTGGCCCTTTGTGTGTACATGTGTGTAGTCATGCTTAGCACTCATTCATGAACATTAACAGACTAGGTGTAGCCTACACACACAGGATTTGGATGCATGAGGATAAGTACTCACAGCATTCATGTCGATGCCGTTGGTGTAGGACCAGGCGTGCTGGAAATACTCCTCCAGCCTCTGCCTGAGTGGGTTAGGGATCTGGTGGAAGCGGATAAACTCCCTGACTCTAAGCATCTGGGTGTGGTAGCGGGCCGTCCCCGAGTAAAGCCGCTGGATGATGGCTGACACATTCCCAAAGATACTGGCGTACATCAGGGCTGGAGGTAGGAGACAGGGAGAGTGTAAGGGTGAGACGTGAGGGAGGATTTTGAAATGTGAGGAGTGAGGAAACAAGGGAAGTAGGCAGGAAGCAAGAGAACAATATATTCTTTAACAGTATAGATTATAGGGACACACAGGCCCTTCGCACACTAATATGGCATGACACATCTCTTGATGACTATAGTTCCATCTGAAAAGAAGTACATTATTATGCTTGACACCTTTGGATGATATATTTGATACATTTGGAGAGGAAGCTCAGACAGCTGGCATAATAATGTAGAATAATGAGAATATATTAGCATGCATCAGAGCTGTATTGAAGAAAAGATGACATATTTGCACAGTATGAAAGTACAGATATATAGATTATAAGTTAATAATTGTAAGTGTCCTCATAGGGGCCATTAAAGATTCAGTGTATAAGTTTTGGTGGCATCTAGTGGTGAGGTTTACGAATTACAACCAGCGGCTCACGGTGCATTCACGTGCTCCTTGGATGGTCACATTTCCACAGTTGTGAAGTCATTCTTCTGACGTCAGTGTGTGTTTATGTGCTCTCAAGTTGGAATGTGGAATCAACATGGACGCTACTACAAAGATGTGTTGGATTAACTTTATCAGAGCATATAGACAACACACAGACATCTTGTTCACTCTAGACAGCAAAGTAACCATTATAACCATATTACAAATTACATGTTTGCAAAATATGTAAATGCAATGTGATTTTGCATGAGTCATAGTTCTATTCTTTATGTCTCATATACACTTTATTTCTCTTTTTGCAAAAAAGATTTAAGTAGGAAAAAAAGATTCTGATTATTCTGACACCACATGAATGCACCATCAGTCACAGCTCAGCCCTCCCTTTCCAAGTGTGCAGGAGAAGCTACTGTGGCCGACACACTCTGTCCGCTCTTGTGCTAAATTACACGAATGGGCCTCCATTTGTCCAAATTTCTCTTCTTGTCTTACTTCTAATAAACATGTCTACTACTACTACTTCTACTACTTATGTTACTTGACATTATTGTACTAGGCTATTAATTTGTCAATAAAGAGGGAAGAGGGGAAAAAGTTAGGCTACTTGTTGTTCTTTTTATTATTTAACCTTGTGAAGTTGTTCTGTAGAGCAGTTTGTCCTTTCGGGCTACTGTAGAAACATGGTGCTGCAACATGGCGACTTCGATGTAAGAGGACCCGCGGTGTAGAAATAGCTCATTCTAAGTTAATAAAAACATAACGGTTCATTATGTAAGGTCTTTATACACCACTGGAAACATAGTTATGGATCTTATATTGCATTTCTATCAATTGATCCTCAGAAATATTATACACTGAACTTTTAAGACTTACTGTAGCTGTACTCAGAGTTTCTAAATCTTTAGATGTAACTAAATGTTCATTTAGAGTTGTGTCTCCAAAACAGTTGATTAATTGTGAATGGATCCTCATCCGTTTTCATTCAGAGCCAACAGATCCTCAGAGAATGCCATCTCCACTGCCCTCACTCATCTTCCTACATCAGAATGGTGTTTATTTCAGCTCAGCATTAAATATAATCAACCCCATGAAAATGGTCGGCAAACTCAGCACTCTGCGCTTGAGTACAACACTCTGCATCTGGATATTGGACTTCACATACACTCCCCAGACAGTTTGGATTAGTGGCCACACTCACCAGAGGCTTTACTGACTAATTTTATTTGCTCCCTTTCCCTTCAGCTATCTTTTCCCCACTCTCACACACCTCTACTGCCGCCGTCATCAGAAACTGACGTCACTTCATGTGAAACTTTGGAGGAAAAGACGTCTCATTCTCTAAAGACATATTTCCTAGTTTCTTCTCTCCTCGGATGGTTTCCTTGCATCTCTCCATGCATCCCTGGTGGGAAGGACTAAGGCGCAAGTAAGGGAAACATGGATTCAATTAAGAGAATTGAGAAGCACCCCATGTTTTCTTGTCACTCTGTTCTTCTGTGGTCTTTGACCAACCACCTTAGAGGTGCATTACTGCCACCAACTGTCGCTCTCAAGTCATGCAAGAACGTGGGCAGTCCTGCTGCGAGGCAAGAATGCAGCCCTGATATGCCTCACAAAAATATAGCACACATACATTTTGTCACTCCATCTCCTACACTGAATTTGCATTAGAAAGACATCTATTTACTATCTTAATCACTCTCATCTCCATATCTATGGTGAAAGGCATTTTGGTACCTCCTCTTCATATTTAGACATACAAGAGGGACTCATACCTGATGCAATTCCAATGACTGACTTGAAAAAAATATTTTTTTCTCAATAAGTTTACAAGTTTAAATACTACTACCAAATAAGATCATGGATTAACGTATACACACAATCATTTTACATGACTCAAACATCTTCTGACATTGCTCCTAAGAGCTACAACAGTTAACAATAATTCAGTTCACACAACTGTTTCTTGCATGAGGTCAGTCGTCTGGAGAAAATAGAAATACAGCAGGAGTTTGTGTAGTATCCTTCATGAGCCTCTGTGTTTTGTCCTGTTTTTATGTTGGATTCTGCTAACCTCTCAACCTCTGTCATCTCCCATCAGTGTCTACATCACCCACTTAAACTGCTGTGTGTGTGAGTGAGTATGTTTATTTTTGCCCTCATGTGTCTCAAAGGACACAATTCATCTCTTAGTCTATTTGAATAGGTTTTATAATGCTCATTGCAACTTCAAAGTACACTTCCATTTTACAGAATATTGTACCATAATTATGGAAATTTTACTAGCCTTAGGTCGTTTTCTGGCCAAGTAAATGCCAAACTGTCTGGAGGAGGAACACAGCCAAAAACAAAAACTATTGTTTGATAAGTCCCCCTCCAAGTCTTTGATTTTTACCCTTGTTTAACTGTAACAGTGAAATACATTCAGTTTTATTTAATATGCACAACACAAACTAATAAGTACGTGCATGCTATAAACAAGCCATTACAAGTTTCTAGTTACTTTTTAGATCGAGAACTAGACATACATAAATCATGTGTAATGGGCTGACTGAAATTCAGCTATCTCCTAAACAAAACACACAACAGGTGCAAATCAAGTCAGACACTGGTGTAATACATATTGTATGGTGTTTACTTATTCTTTAAGGAGTAGAGAAAAGAGTGATTGAAACATTTCAGTCACGGGAGTGTTGGTCTTTGCTGCGCTCACATAATTTCTGGCAGGTTTGATGGAGCCTGAATACAAAGCAGCCAGATCTGATCTGACATTGGCAGTTAGAGTCCAGGACATGGGGTTAATATCTCAATTAGTTTATTTCATTAAGTATCAGGTTAATCAAGTTGTCAGTGTACTAAGCAATTTTTCCACATACTGTGACATTTAAACATTTCTTTCTTCCACCCAGATTTGAAGCCAGATACTTTTACCATAATATCAGTACTTACATCCAATGAGCATGACACAGATGGAGAAGATCTTCTCAGAGTTGGTGTTTGGGGACACGTTTCCGAATCCCACACTGGTCAGACTGCTGAAGGTAAAGTACAGAGCTGTGACATACTTGTCTTTGATGGATGGTCCGGAGCCTGGTGTGGAAATTTAGAAAGTAAAACAAATATTGTAAAAAGTTCATTGCTTAATAGAATCATAGCTGTTCACTGATAATCATTCAACAATCAAATCAAAAAGCACATTCATTTTTTAACATTAATTTGCTTAAAACTCAGCTAACCAGTACAGACCAAACCACTATTTACATTTATCTGACGCTTTTATCCAAAGCGACTTACAATTGCTATACATGTCAGAGGTCGCACGCCTCTGGAGCAACGAGGGGTGAAATGTCTTGCGCAGGGACACAATGGTGAATGTCTCAAAGTGGGAATCAAACCCGGGTCTCCCACACCAAAGGCAATTATCTTATCTATGCGCCACCCCCAATTCTAACCAGTATTAGTACTACATAATGTTTCTTCTCAGTACCTGGGATGGAGTCGTTGTAGTGTTTTCCTAATTGGTCCCCTAGCGTGTGGAGCCAGCCAATTGAACCAGTCCTCTCAACGCTACCGATGGCATACCTGGGGAAGTTATAGCAATAAGCAATAATTAGGACGGTGCTGCTACAATAGGCACATAAATAAGTACGCTAAATAGATTTTTAAACCTTTAATAGTGGTGTTGAAAAATAATTGGCTTGGTTAATCCTGATTCAGAAATTTTGAAAAAGTATGAATTTCTACAATTTGACTGTGGCTATTATAAATATATAAATGTGAAACTTTATATTTTAAATTAATGTATTGCAGTTGAGACTTTCGATATTGTCTACAACCAGCACCCATTTAATATAAATTCTTGTGTATGTAGATAAAGACATGATTATTCCCATCATTCCTCTGTAAATCTTATCTGGTTAGATCAGACCAGCTTATTGTAATGTACCAGATGCAGGCCAGCCAGTGAGCGATGAGGGCAAAGGTGCACATGAGGAGGAAAAGGACAGCTGCACCGTACTCCGAGTAGCGGTCCAGCTTCCTAGCTACACGCACCAATCGCAGGAGACGGGCAGTTTTCAGCAGACCTATCAGAGTAGTGGTCTAAAGGGAGTGGGAGAGACAGAGGAAAGTAGAAATAAGGTATTGTAAAGCATCTTATCATATCTCCTCACAGTGTTCCCACCTGCTGGCATCCTGTCACACACACACACACATTTACAAACACGGCGGTGCCGCCGTGGCCTTGTTCCAATGTGATTAATTTTTGTGAAAGTGGTAAATCCTGACTCCCGTTCATTACTGAACTGTCTACTCCCTGTCCTTTTTACTTGTATTCAGCTGGCCCCCACTGTGTCCATACAACCAATAAATAACTGGTCCATTACTGTGCAGGCAGAGAGCCTATTACTCTGTGTGTGTTTGTGCGCGCGTGTCCTCTCTGTAAATGATAGTTGTCTACTGAGGAAAATCTCCACTTTCTTGGCTCCATGGCCCCTTCTGGACAGCATCAATTAAGTGAACCTTGGCCAAACTTTCCGTGGGCGGTATCTGAATATTGGGGAGTTCCCACATTTATCATTTTTGGCTTGGTGGGCGGCTTAATCGCAATAATTTTTTTTTTTAAATTACTTACAGAATATCCATTAATTTTAGATACATTTCAAGTACTGCTCACTAATTACCCTGGCTGAGCTGCTGTGTGGAGTGATTCTATTAACTGGCTGGTTTTCATCCTTTTATTATGTCCAGCAACCTACAGTTTAACACTTCAGTGTTTCCCATAGGATTTTTTTTTCGGGGGGGATAAATGGTAAATAATAAATGGTCTGTACTTGTGTAGCGCCTTTCTAGTCTTATGGTGCTTTCAGACCAAAAGTGACAGCTACGTGAAGTCGAAACAAAGGCAATGCGAAGGAATCGCGTGAATTGAATATTTTCAAGTCAAGCGAGAAAGTCGCATGACGCTGAGTCGCGACAACTACGCCCTTCGCCCTGTGATTAAATAGCAATAAATGGATTAAACTGATGCCGAAATTTGTTAAACATATGAATTCATGCTTTGACAGGTCTGTCCGCAAGACAGCAGGACAACAACTTCTAAAATGTTTGTTTTCTGAATGGAGTTCAGATCGATCAGGGTTATGCTATGCTAACTTGGTCACAGCAAAGTTAAAGTAAAACGATAGCTGGAATAAAGTTACAGACATGTTTTCTGAACTCACCAGGTAATTCAACCTCTTCGCTTTCTTTTCTCCCAGCAATGTCCAGTTTTGTCCGGTATTTATACGAAGTAGTAGTCCAAAGGAGCTCTGCGTACCAAACGACGCTAACAACACTGGAACCGGATGTGCACAGAAGCTAGCTGCTGAGAAGCTTGAGTGACGATAAATCAATGTTGTAATCCCAAAATCTAAAGTAAAAAGCTAATTTAATAAAAACACTTCACTCTGTGCTCCTCCAGCAAGCAAACGGTGTAGTTGCCAGAGCATAGTCCAGTGCAACTATGGGTGTTTATTTGTCCAAAAGCGTTGCTCCCTGCTCCTCTCCCCCAAGTTTAGCAGCTCTCCGCCGGCCAGCAGATTTTCAATCGCCCACTCTGCCTGGCCCTCTGCTTTTTTTTGGTTGAAAAATTTCAACTCGCACGAATTCCTTCGCTTTGCGTCACCGCCACCGCCCCCTTCGTGTCGCCTGACAGGAAATCACGGCACTACATGTCTTTGCATTGACTTTGTATGCAACGCTCGCTTTGCTTTTGGTCTGAAAGCACCATTACAACCAGCCAAAGCGCTTTTACACTACATCACATTCACCCTTTCACACACATTCCTAAGTACTTAGAACAGAAGCTAACATTCACACACATTGAATAGGTTACATAGACTGTTGGAACAACCATCAGGTTGATACTCCGAATAACGGGAACCTACTCTACCTCCTGAGCAACAGCCATCCCCCAGTAGACCCCCCAAAACTAATAGTGTCGCGGAGCAGGTATGTTAAAGATATGTGGTGTCGTAATCCGTGTTGGGCAAGTTACTCAGAAATTGTAAAGTTACTAGTTACTTATTACTCCTTAAAAATTACTCCCCCCCCCAGAGCAGGCAGTAAAAACCCTTTTTACTCACCTCCAGCTCTCTCTGTAGCAATCCCTGCTACCTGCTAGTGCTAATCCATTCTTTCACCCAGATTCTTTATAATTGCTCTCTTTATAATAACAAACAGCTTTTTTATGTGTAGGTTCAGGCAGCTGTCAGCTCGCGTAGTGTGTGACCCCCTGTCACCGATCAGTCATGTATTGTAAACGCCACAATGACTTCAAGACTCCCACCACACGACAGCAAGTTGTGTAGTCTGAACAGCACGGCGATCGACTGACGCTGAAAATCGAGTAGTCTGCACAAGCTGTAAGTAGCTTGGCGCTCAGCAATTCTAATCAGACGGAGTGACTGGGTTCTCAATCTATACAATCGGAACAAAACGCAGCAAAAGATTGCTACAGAACCACACTTATTCCTTACCTGGCCAATCCACAACAGACCTGCCACCTAACAACTAGCACCACATCCCAAGGTGCTCTATTGGATTGAGATTTGGTGACTGTGGAGGCCATTGGAGTACAGTTAACTCATTGTTATGTTCAAGAAAAAAAATTGGCCCTGGACTTTGATCCAGACCCGCCCACCAGAACAATCTACTGTATACTCTATCACGGCCGCCCTGCTAATGCACGCACATCCAAACAGGATCAGCCTCTAATAAACCACCAGCAGCATTACAGTCATTGATCACTATGGCAGTAGGCTACTACCTTAAAAAGGCATAGCTGTAACCAGCTATGAGGTCACAGAGGTCCGGACCTCCGTAATTGTATTTAGTCTATAGCCTTTTAATAAAACAAATTTGAATAAAAACCATTGATAACAAGCTCAACTTAAATAAAGGCTTTAGAACCATGTGGATGCAGCTGATTACATAAGGGCGTCACCCACAAGTGGTGGGGACATTTAAGGCCTCATATTAGTGGTGTGACCAAACACCTAGTCCATGAGACATGATAATGCACAATATGTCATTGAATTTGTATTTGTTATTTGACATTTCTTGCAAGCTAATTTTCAGAAAACTTTTAGCAAATGCTTTCAAAAAGTTGTGGGGATGTGTCCCCAGTGTAAATGACACCTATGTTATTACACCATCGCGACCCTCCTTTGAAGTTGAAAAACTGTTTCCTCATCAATGGTCAGTGTCCAGACCTGGGGAAACACGAGAAGCACAGGACAATGTAATGCGCGCATTAACTGAGAGCAGCGGTGTTTGCAGGCAGAGTTTTCGACGAAAAATACATTTAGAGAATTTAAGGGTGGGTGAAACAGGGTGAAGTGTCTCCCCATTAAGAGAAATGCTGTGCGCATTTACACACGAGCCACAGCAACATAACTTCGTATTTAAATCTCCTGACAAGCCGACAGGATCATCAGGATCTAATGTTAAATAATATGCTGTGTTTGTCAACACATCCAAACAGTCTCATTCACAGTCCAGGTTTATACAGAGACACTGTTTTGAGTAAAGCAGCCGTCCTCCTGATCAATGCTGAGCTCCATCAAAGCATCTTTTATTCTGGCTGACCTGTCAAGTTTTAAACTATGTTTTTGTTTTGCTGCATAAATGTCCCACGATAACCGTGACATTACTGTGCGCATGTAAACGTGCAGTGCTGTTGTGGCGCGTGCGCGCGTGTGTGTGTGATTGAGAGAGGCTGCGTGAATATATGCACTGTGTTCAGCTCTGCAATAGTACAATTTTTAATAGGCCTAGTAAAAAAATAAAAGCGTCTGATATTGAGGTGGGCCACCACAAATAAATCAATGTATGGGAACACTTTACTGTTCAGCTGCACTATCTCTGGCTTCGCTGTCCTCTCTGTTTAATCTTTTACCCGTGAACTGTGCAGTGGCATCTTCCTGTTCCCGGACTTAGCGTCTGTGGCCATGGTACTAGTGCTACTACAGAACGAGTCGGTTACTTTTTTACATTTACTTGCATGTCAGTTAAACTCTGCTTTTCCATGTTCTATTGTAGCTCGTTTTCCAGCTGTCAGTGTCACTGTGGTGTGAGTGAGATGGATGGAGTGGGCTAAGGGCTGCGTAGATGTTCATATGGTATAGACCAACAGGCCAGGGGAGAAGGGGGGGTTGGCCCGTGTTGCTCAACCTTCTGCCAATTCTTTTATTATTAGTAAAAAGTAGGTAGGCTAAGGAAGGTGGCCCACCGGCCCTGAGGCTGGCCGGCCCACCGGGATTTGTCACGGTACTCCATGGTCAGAACGCTACTGGATGATTTCAGCTTTGCGACATGGTGCATTATCCTGCTGGAAGTAGCAATCAGAAGATGGGTACAATGTGGTCATAAAGGGATGGACATGGTAAGCAACAATACTCAAAACAATTAAATAATGCTCAATTGGTACCAAGGGGCCCAAAGTGTGCCAAGCTAATGTCCCCCACAACATTACACCACCACCAGCAGCCTGGATCCATAGAGCCCGTTACAAGGCAGGATGGATCCATGCTTTCATGTTGTTTACACCAAATTCTGACCCTACCATCTAAATGGTGCAGCTGAAACCAAGACTCATGAGACCAGGCAATGTTTTTAAATTTTCTATTGTCCAATTTTGTTCAGCCTGTGCGAATTGTAGCCTCCGTTTCCTGTTGACAGGAGTGACAATGTGGCCCATCTGCTTCAAGGTTCGACGTGTTGTGAATTCAGAGATGGTATTCTGCATACCTTGGTTGTAATAATAATAATAATAATAATAATAATAACAATAATAATCATCTTTATTTGTAGAGCACTTTTCAAAAACAAGTTACAAAGTGCTTTAACAAGTGTAAAGACAATAATACCCCAATAAAAGTAATACAAATACAATACAAGATAAAAGCAAGAAAACATTCAAAAAGACTAAAATACACGTTTAAGATAAGATGATTTCCTCGGGCAGGCTGGCTCTGTCCCCTTTAGTTTTCAGTCGAGACTCTGGAACAGATAGCAGACCTCTGCCCGAGGATCTCAAGGTACGTGCTGGTGTGTATGGG